CTCTCTCTTTAAAAAAAAATATAGTTAAAAAAAAAAAAAAGGCCAAGGCAAAAAGGTCACAAGTTGAAGGCCCCAGGCAACATATGGAGACCCTGTCCCAAAATAAAAATTGAAAAGTTGCCAAACACATTGATTACTTTTTAGATTGTAGGATAGAAATCAAAGTAGAACACATCAGATAGGGCCTCTTTTTCACATCCCATCTTTCATATATATATATATATATATATAATTTCTCCCAAAAGTCAGAGAAAGAGCTCTCCCTGAGTTTGTTGTCAAAATTTCTCTATTTTCAGTTGCCACTGCTTTAAGTGCTCATTTCATGAATTTCACATGAGTTGGACAGTGGTTAAGATTGGCAGGTGGTTCACTAGACACATTTCTGTTTTGCAGACATTTCATCCATTTCAGTTCCAGGTTGTGAACCTGTCTGGTTATGGGCAAAAGTTGATGGAAATAGTCAATCTTTTTATCAGCGTGTGATGCGATCATTTTCTTTCTCAATCACAAGTGGACAACTATTATCTTCTTTTTCTCTGGCAGGGATTGCCCCTTGCTGCGGGTGTTGGCGGGTGAGGCTGTTGGTGAGAAGGTAGACGGTTCTCTGCCTTGGATTGTCTCATGGCTTCTGGAAGGAAACAACTACAGTGGACTCCTTATTCACCTGGACCCCCAAGATGGATGGGGCAAGGGTGTGGGGTTTTTTTGGAAACTCTGAAATCTGGCATTAGGCCTGCCTCATCCTATCAGCCAACTAACCCTTGCCCAGAGAGCAAACTTTATCCTCTGGGATTTAGGAAGGTGCCATTGTGGCTAGGGTGCCAAAGTTTAGAGGGGCAAGGGCAAAGACAATAGTAAAAGCAAACCCCTCCCCTTAGGGGGCTTCAACGGCTTACAAAGCATTTTAATACCTTCAATTCTTACCATAACCTCCTCAGGAGAATGTAATTTACAAATGAGTAAATGGAGGCAGGTATATTTTATAGAAGAGGAAATAGAGGACCAGAAAGAGAAAAGAACTTACCTATTTTCACATACCCATCAACAATAGGGCCTTTGCTGGGCACATTGGTGCATGCCTGTAATCCAGGACACTCAGGAGGCTGAGGCAAGAGGATGGCAAGTTGGAGGTCAGCCTGAGCAACCTAGCAATATCCTGTCTCAAAATTAAAAAAAATTTTAATAAAAAGGCTTGGAATATAGCTCAGTGGTAGAGTACCTCTGGGCTTAATCTTCCCTCTATCACATAAAAAAAAGAGCCATGAGCTGATAATAGTTCAAGATGGGTGATAGATGGATTGCTTACACTGTGTATATATTTGAAATTTTCCGTAAGAGTTAAAAAAAAACAAAACAAAACATGTCTGGCACTCTGTCTCCAAAATCAACAAACACACTTTTGGCCAGCAGATTCCCAGTCCTCCTATGCCAGGTCCTATGGAATGAGGAAGATAAGTTGTGGCAGTTGACACCGTCAAAGATAAAGCAGTGAGGGTCAGACGTGTTTATCTATAGGCCAGTGTGATGTCATGACTAAGAGCACAGGCTTTAGTGTCAGACAAAACTGGGCTTGATTTTCTGCTCTGACACTTACCAAAAAGTTGTTAGACCTCTCTGAGTTTCAATTGCCTCATCTGGAGAACATGGGTGGAGTGGGGTGGGGGCTAGGTCGATTACAGTTGTGGGGGATAAAAAGAGGTAAGCTATGAACAGCCTTAGGACAGAGCCATCAAGCACATGTGAAAGTCTAATAGGGGTTAAATATTTTGAAGCATAGTACTATTTTTAAAATATATTTTCAGTTGTAGATGGACACAATACTTTTATTTATTTTTATGTGGTGCTGAGGATTGAACCCAGTGCCCTCCACATTCGAGGCGAGTGCTCTACCACTGAGCCACAACCCCAGCCCCAGAATAGTACTATTAATGGAAATCTGAATTATTACAAACAGTGTGCTCTGGAGTCTACAGCAAGGAGTAATCTACTCCAAGTTTTCCTTTACTAGGCAGCTCCCTGCCTTTGCTTCAGGCTGCTCTCTTGGGGGCATCAGGAAGGAGGATGCAGATGAAAGAGGTGAAGCCCACTTGGTGGGATGCGGTAGAAGAGGCCTGGGCCCGCCGGGCTAGCCTGAGGACCCTGCGTTTGAGCCTCTTTGGGGACACCTTGACAGACAGTGGGCTTAGCCAGCTGGGAAGGGCACTGCGTGAGCTACAGGTGAGCAAAGTGAAGCCTAGGGGCACCTGAGCCAGCAATGGCCAGTGCCCACTCTGAACCCCTTCTCCATAGGTGATAAAAGCCTGGAGCCAGTGCCCAAGAAGAGGGACACCCAAAGGGGCTACAGCTGAGGCCGTGGGGTTCCCAGAACCACAGGTATATCTTTTCCTCCAACCTTTTGGGAGCCCCATTTATGTCTTTCTTTGCTGTCTTCACAGAGCATTCCATTTATCCATTGATTTATCGATTTCCAAACATTCATTGACAATTTACCATGTGCAGGGCACAGGGCTATGTCCACCCTGGGAATTCCCTGATCTTGTGGAGTTTACAATCTGTTGGGAAGAAACAATTACACCATGATCAGTTCTCGGAAAGGCTTATAAACACAAGGTTCTGTGGCACATCTGGGTCAGCATGAGCAAGAAAGGGAAGGAAGGCTTCATGGAGAAAGTGATTCCTGAGGTTAGCAAAGATGAGTGAAGAACAACCTAGACAGAATGAGAGGCAGAGATTGAAAGGTAAGCAAATGCTTGATGTCTCTGGAGAACTGCAAGCAGCTCAGTTCTCTGGAGAATAGAGTTTAAGTTAGAGTCAGGCGAGAAGGATAAGTAGGGCCAGGTTACACAGAGCTTTGGTAAACTACTGAGATGTTTGGACTCTGTCTTGAAGGTCAAGCCTGAGCCAACGAAGTATCCTAAGCAAGGAAGACAACATTATTCCCATTTGTCAGGTGAGAAAACTGAGATAAGAGAAGAGATGTGAGTAGCCCAGGGTCATTTTCTTAATCAGAGGCAGCCTAGGAGCAACACTAAAATCCTCAGATTTCTAAACTGGAACAACCCGGATGGCATGACCTCTCTTGTACAAAAGGGGGCGCTGTCTTCCATGATTTGCTGCAGGGTAGTTCAAACCCTGCGTATTCAGGTCCTTCTCTTCCCTTTTCATAATTACATCTTTACAATTTGTTTTTTATAACACTGGGCCTGGGGAGTTAAGCACATTAGTTTCCAATTATTGATCACATGCCTGACTGCTCAGTGCTTTGTTACCTTATTTCATGCTCTTAACAACTTTTATTTGTTACCTTATTTCATGATCTTAACTTTTATCCATTCTATTTTATGAAAAAGAGCATGGAGACTCAAAAGACTAGTCGCCTGCCTGACATCATAGAGCTAAGAAAAGGCAGGGCTGAGTCTCTGATCTGTTTGATTTCAAAGCCCCAAGCTTAAACTATGTTGTCCTTGGGGGAGGGATGAGAAATTGTCACTCTAGATTACTTCTCTGCAGGTGATGATTCAGTAGTAAGCCATAGTCCAGGCCTCAGCAGGAAGTCCTTGGTAGATCTGGTACTTGAGGGGTAGTTGGGACAGGGTCTTCACCTTTGGTGTGACTAATTATATTTTCCTGTAATGGCAGAAAGAACATCATCTCTAGGGCCTGGTCTCCACCAAAAGCATCCTCTCAGGAACTCTGAGGAACAGGTAATATCTCATATTTTGGGAACAACTGGAAACTGTTGGGAGTGTGAGGGGGTACCAGAGCCCAGCTAATCTGCCTCCTGCTACTGCCTGACAACAGGAAGAAATATGGAGCTTCTGGAAAATAAAGGACTTGAAGGGCTACTGGATCCCTAAAGGATGAGCATAGAGAGGAGCTTTTTTCTTGGTTGGATTATGAGTATGAGATTATTAGGGCCTTTATGGTGACTATTGGCAGAGCCAGTACCTCCTCTACCCCTGGCCTCCTGAGTCTTTTCCCAGGTTACAGATTCCTCCGGGCCAGTTAGGTCCTCGCTTCTTGGTAAGCTAGACTGATACCATCTAGTTCCAGCAGGCCCCAGATGTGGCTCTTCAGTTGCTCATGGCTCAAGTTCGGAGGCAGAGATTGAGAGAGCAGCACCAAATTTGGATCCAAGAGGAGATAAAGCATTTGGAACAGGAAGAGGTGGTACATGAACAGGTCAAAGGCCTGGTGGCTGAAGAGGAGGTGAGGAGGGCTGAGTAGGGGTCTTGAGATTCCTTATAAATAGGCTAGTCATTGTACTAGAAGGTAGTCCTTCATCAGTCACAACTGACTGGTCCATACCCTCTTAGTCTTGTGGGGGATAGAGGAGGCAATTCTCAGTGCTGCATGCTGTAATAGGGGAGTTAGGATGAAAATATAAAGGTACACTTCACCCAGGCTGGAGTGAATCAGAGGAGATGGCATCTAAGGTGAGACTTAGAGGACAAACAGAAATCACTAAGGGAATTCACTAGACTCAGTTCCACAAAGGCAGATAGTGCTCATCACAGAGGTACTCAGTAAACATAACTTGTTTGAACAAATTAAGAATCAAAGCTTTTTTTTTTTATGTGGTGGGGATAATTTCTCAGAGAGGAAAAACTGTATAAGCAATGGGCTAGCATAAAGCAATGGCAAAATGGGCTCTGAGAACCACAAGTCTGGCACCCAGCAAGTGTGGAGTCAAGAGGCAAAGCTAATGAGATGGTATACCACATCTCTGAGTCTGGATTTCACTCCAAGGAACTGTTGAAAGGTATATGTTATCTCAGCTCTGTCTCTCACTAGCCATGGGAATTTGGGTAAGTTAGGACAACTACCCCATAAAGTTGTTACTGGACAAAATGAGATAATGCACATGGAGGGTTTGGCACAGAGTCCAGCAATAGGTGGTGCTCAACAAAGGGTATGAATTATCTCTGAAGACCTGTGAGAAGAGGCCGAGATGGCACCGGGAGCTGAAAGTACTGAGACTTCAGGTGGAGGCCCTGCAGGCAGAGCGGGACATCGCAGAGGAAGACTTGGCATTCTTCTATGATCTGCATGTGCAGGCCACCAGAGCACAGACAAGCCACATATTACAGGTCAGTGGAGACAGACAGTAGGCCTTGAGCCTGCTGGTAGCAAGGCTGGCTGGCTGACAGGTGTCTCTGAATCTGGCCACAGGTATTTCGAGCCTGGCAGAGGCTGCAGGAAGAGCAGGCCATGACCACAGAGCATCGTCACCGCAGCCTACTGGCTTGTGTCCTGCAAGACACCATTGACCTGGCCTCGAGGAACCAGGAGCTCCAAGCCCAGAACCAGCAGCTTCAGCAGGGTGCAATGAAGGGAGGGGCAGTCAGATTGGATCTCTGCCTTAGGGTGAAACCTCATGATTAGGAACTCTTCAGTGGTGTTAGAATTGGATGCAGTGGCACATATATCTGTAATCCCAGCAACTGGGGAGGTTGAAACGGGAGGATCACAAATTTGAGCTAGCCTCAGTAACAATATTGGCAAGGCCTTCAGCAACTTAAACCCTATCTCAAAATAAAAAATAAAAGGTTAAATCCCTAGTGCCAAAAATAGTAACAACAAAACCCACATTATTTGCATTAATTAAAAAAAAAAAAGACCAATAGAGCAAGGGGATCAGAGGGAGAGGGAAAGGGAAGGTACTGAGGAATGAGGGTGAACAAATTATGGTATATGCATGTATGAATATGGCATAACAAAGTCCATTAATAAATAATTATAATGCACTAATAAAAACATAAAACATTAGTGGTCTTAAGTTTTCCAGCCTAGTTTAGTTTGTCCTGCTGGGCTCAGTACCTTCTGTTTCCAAGACTCTCCAAAATTCTCCAGGGCCTAAGTTTTGTGCTTAAGGGAAATTTCAAAGTCTGTGACAGAGAATATCTCAGATCCACAGCAACAGCTTGGAGAAAACCACTTGTCCTCTTAGTCCAGAAATTACTCCAGAATTAACTCAGGAGACCAAGGGACAATTATGTTTGAGGGGAACTGTGCAGCATAGAAGACACAAGACAATATTGACTGGTTGTAGGAAACACCCTACATCCTAGAACACTTTATTAAGACCTTATTGCTTATGCAGTTAAAAGAGACATTGATTAAGCTATAGAAGTTTCTGTACCTGGTCCCAGGTCAATCTGTGCAGAGCTTTCCCAGGCTGTTGGGAGCTGGGACACTATTAGGCAGGGATAGGACTCAGAGTGGGAAAGATGCTACCTCCTAAGAGCCTTAGAGGTGGCAGTGGGCTTCAATAGGGCCCTTGGGTGAGCAAAGGGGTTAGAGGTATAGGTTTAAGCCAGGATCCAGGGGCAACATTCCCTGAGATGAGTCAAGCCCCAGCCCTCTGTGGGGTTTCCAGAACAAAGGCTGGGTAAGGGAAGCAGCACTATGGAGGGGGTAGGGGATATATCTCCAGGCAGTGCTGGAGCTAAGGGACCTTGGCAGAGTGGCCTAGGTGACAGCTATATAATTTGTAGCAATTGGGCCTTCCTGCATGACTGTTGGGTGTGAGTGTCCCTTATGAAGAAGTCATGCACCAAGGTGGGGCTTGAGCACCAACACCAGGCCTGGGTAGTGGGTATACTGGGGTGACCACAGTGGGCAAGGAAAGCCACTTGTCACCCATATCTCATTTTGTGTTTATGGAAGATGAGGCAGGGGGCCTTCCCCATCAGGAATGGAGTTATTTTTCAGGCCTAGGTATTGATGCTCCCAATTCTTTAGTTTGGAAGAACTTGGGGGTGGGTGGGGAAGTTAAGTTTCCTTAACCAAATCTACTCTTCATGTCTCCTAGAAGCCTCCTTCATACACCACTTCAAGACTAACTTGGTTGCTCTCCCTTCTCCAGCTTTTCTCACAAGGCACTTATTACAGTTGCTAAGGGGAGGAAAGGAAGAAGTTTGAGAGATGACTCTGGTGGTGGTGCCCAATCTATAGAATCAGAAGCAAGGTAGCCAGAGGCTAGTGACTACCATAATACAGGCGCACAGCCAGGCCAATGAGCAGTGTGGCCAGGAAGAATGTAGCTGTGAGTTGCAGCCGTAGCAGGGCTGCTGAAAGCATGGCATTGACCACTAATGAGCAGGACACAACAAAAAGGCGTGTGATGCTGCTGCCATGCTTCATGACAGCGGACATGAGCAGTCCATTTAGTGCTTGGCTCAGCACCACAAGTGCTGCCCATCCTGAGAAACCCTCCAGGAGGCCTGGGCCAGGACCACCACCTGCATGCAGACCAAGGTTCAGGAGCACACCAAAAGTGTAGAGGAAGAGGTTTTGAAGTGCGAGGGGCAGATGCTGTCGCTTCATGAGCAGCTCTGTGTATACAGATGACAAGCCTGAGATGAGACAGTACAGGATGAGCAGCAGCAGTCCCAGTGGAGTGATATGCAGGGGCATGGGGCTGGCAGCAGCTGCTAGAGGCCCAGGAAGGGTGTTCCCAGGGTCCTGAAGGCCACCTGCTGCATAGCAGGCCCCTGCAGCCATCAGCAGCAGCAGTGCCAAACCCTGGCGTGCAGAGAGGCGGTGCCGGAGACAGAGGCAGTAGAATAGGGCTGTGCTTCCAATCTTGAGATTGCTCAGCACCTGGTAGGTGCTGGGGTCCATGTAACGCTGTAGATAGATCACCAGGTTGTTGTTGGCGCCATAGAGCAGGGCAGATAGTGCAAAAGGAGCAGCTTGGCGCCAGGGTGGGGCCCCTCGGGGCCATGCTTGCCAGCCCACAAGGAGAGAGAAGGCGCACAACAGTAACTTGGTCAGCTCAGTGAGCAGCACAGCTGAGGAAGGCCGAAAGGGCACTCGGCCATCCACATGGCACAACGCCAGCAGTGGGGCATGGGCACCATACATGGCAGTGGATAGGAGGAGCATCAGGGTCCAGCGGGCCTGCCTAGGACGGCCCAGGCCTGGCATACCACCTTCCTCTACACTCATGCCCTCATCAGATCCTGGTTGCCTGTGTAACTAGCAAATGGCAGAGGAATTGGGGCACATTTAAGGGATATTAAATTATGGAGCCAGCTCCCAGGAGGAGCTGGTACATTGCCAGAGAGAATACTGAGGATCAGAGTCATCTGTACACTCCACAGTTAGGGCTGGGAGAGGAAGGGGCTGATGAAGCATGGTCTTGGGTCCAGTCTCATGGAGCTGGGGAGGGAAGGAGTCCAGATTACAGTCCGACAAGCCACTGTGCACCCTCTGCAGGAAGAGAAGCTAAGATGAAGGTGGCAGGACAGGTGGAGACAGTAAGTATATGACAGCTGGGGAAGCCAGATAGTGTGTCTGTGTTTGAAAGGCCTCCACCTGTAGGCCCCAGCTGTTCATCCTGCTTCCCCCATAGGATCTAGAGCTAGTCAGGCCCCTTGCGCAGTGACCGAAAGTAGTCCCTCAGTGTCTTCTCCACGTTGGGCACAGCATATGCCTGAGCTGCATAGATGCCAGTGCAGGTGCCAACTGCAAAGCCCAGTACTGCCGATGCCCTCAGTTTGGCCACCACATAGCCAGCCAGGAATCCTTTGAGGAACGGGGAGGACAAAAGCGAGCCATCCTGCAGAGAAAAATGAAGAAGGAAACTCAGGCAGGTTTTCCCTCTTCTCTGCCCAGGAACTACTCAAGTGAGGGTCACTCTCTACAGCTGTAGCATTTTCTCCAAAGATTTTTCTCAAGGTTCTGGAGCTCAAAAAAAAAAAGAACTCAGGAGTCCTGATCACACAATATCAGAATCCTGAAGTCCCTCCAACCACAGAATCTTCCTGCTAAAATGTCAGAGATGCTCCTGAGCAGTCTGAGTCCTGCTATTTCTCCAGTCTCATTTTCTAGCATATTTTCCCACTACTGCAGCGGAACCGACCTCCTTTCCCGCCTCTTGTACATAATACTACTCTGCATATGTTTGAAGTTTTCATTCCTCTCCACTTCACCTAGTTAACCACTACTTAAGATGTCAGGTCAAGAGCTATTTTCTCAGGGAAATTTTCCTAGGGAACTGAGAACTGGCCCTCAATAACCATTTGCTGAACAAATCTCTGCCACTGACTCAACATTCTCAAGAGAAAATTGGACAATGAAGATTAAGGTGAGAGGCAGGAGGACAACTTCTACCTGGCCCACACCACTGTTGACTTCGTCTTCCACTCGCTGTTGCAGGCGTTCCAGCTGGTTCTTGAGAAATGCCAGGTCCTTAAGCTTGGGCAGAGAATCCTAGGAAAAGGGAGAGGCTGGCTCCAGCAGACTGACTCAGCCCCATTCCCTGTTCAATTCTATCAGAAACTGGGAGTTGGGAGGAATGGGGTGAGCCAGAGATATCTTTCTATAAAACTTTCCTGAGATGGCAGTGGTAAAGGCAGAAAGGCATTGAAAAGCAGAGTTACATGGGGCCAGGGAGGGGTGGCAGATGAAATCAGTATCAGTAACTTGTAATAATCACTACAGGAATCTAATACAGCAATCAGTGTGCAGGAAAGGCAGAAGGAACCTTCAATTAGGTCTATGAGCAAAGAACTACTGACTGAACCAAGAGCTCCCCAAAAGTGGTGATCAGTCTTTCTTGTCTGTTGTAAAATGCCTGGTAGTGGGACTGGCAGGCACTTGGTGAATGTGACTGATGCTGGGCTTCCAGACCAAAGGAGAATAATAGCTTGAAGCCGTTCCCTGGACAATTTGAGGGTAAACCCGATTTCTGCCTGGATTGTATCCCTGTTTCTGAGAGCATCTCAACCTAAATGGAGTAACTGGATATGAGAGATAATGAATGTCGGAAAGAGTATGCATAAACGACGAATAATTCTGATCACATGTAAGTATGAAATTCAGTGTGTGCACAAGAAAGTGTTTGAGGGTGCCGTTCGTGTGGATTGGAAACGCTATCTCTGGAAGGGAAATTTGGGGGGCTAGGGAATGAGGCAGAGTGAGGAGCATTCCGGGGTAAGTGTGTTTGAGTGTGTGCTAGTAACTGGGCATCATGATGGTATTCGGGAGGGGACTGCTGGGGGATCCCCGACTCCGCCCGCCTTCCCTAAAACTACCCCCATGCCACCCCTCCCTGTTGAGGTAGTCGATAGAGTTCCAGGGAAAACAAGAGGCACCCCATCTCTGGGACATTCCAGTGTCACCTTTCCCCAAAACTACAGAGCCATGGAGTCTAAAGACAATCTTAAAAAATTAAGGATCACCCCCACGTTCACTCACCTTGTCATCCGCCATCTTCCCCGCCGAACTTGTTGCGCAGGCGCAGCCCCGCCTCCCTTATGTGGGCCTACCGCCATCTTTACTGAGGGCGGAGGCACTTCCGGGGCATTTTTGTAAAGGATTGGGTGTTTTCTTCGCCGTCGAATTTTGACAGTCTAGTTTTCACAGATGCTACCACGTGACCCCTACCGCCGGATACCAGGTTGTCTGTGAGCGCGCATACGACCCGCGCGATGATCTCACTCATGCGCGAGTGCGCGCGGTGCACGTTCACCTGACCGGTCTTCCACCCTCTTGATGAGCTCATAGTTGCGTGGTGGTGTCAGTGAGTCAGGGGCATCCGTGCGCCTCCTCCGGTCCGACGCACGGAAACACACATCCACTCGGCGTCTAGACACCACCGCCTAGGGGCGGTGCTGCTCAGACCCCGCCCCGCGTGTTTGCGGCGCCAGCTGGTCTGGCGGTCTCTGGCACAGGGAGCCGGGGCTTTTCAGCGCAACTCTGCTGAGGTCGCGCTGAGCTGAGAGCGCAGGGCAGCTAGGGCCAGCGGGGACCCGGAGGGGCTATGCTGGGCAAGGATTATATGCTGGCCATCATTCTGGTCAACTGCGACGGTGTGCACGGAGGGGCCTAGTGGGAAAATCAGAAGCTGATGGGGGAGACTAGGGAATGGAGAAAGGGTCAAAATTGGGGGTGGTGTGGGGACCGGCAGAAAAATGAACCCTGATCTTACAATCCTTAAGATTGGGGAGCCTTGAGCTTCTGCCTAACTGGCTGTTCCTTGTGGGATGTAGGGAGGGTTATGAAATGGTTATTCTGAACTCATGCATAATATGTGCACCCTCTCCAATCTCGTTTCTGTAGATGACTTGTGGGGGGACCAGAATCTGGAGGGGGAGCCAGGCCTGCCCCCAGGCTGGAGGAAGATCCATGATGCTGCAGGTACTTACTATTGGCATGTACCAAGCGGTAGCACCCAGTGGCAGCGTCCAACCTGGGAAATAGGAGATGCAGAAGATCCAGGCACGGTAGGTGTGAGAAAGGGGCCTAAGGCTGTGTGTGGCCCTAGGAGCCTGCTTGTTATACTAATTGACTGCCCTCGTTCTACAGAGGACAGAGAGGATTTGGGGACTGCGGCCCCCCAAGGGGAGATCCTTCTCCAGCCTGGAGAACTCACTGGACCGAAGGTAACAGGGATGGCCCAGGCAAAATGAAAGGCTTGGGAGCATTTAGAAATGCAGCTGAACCCAGTCTGTTTTCCAGATCAGGTTCTGGACTACTTTTTAGGGCCCTATTCTGTGTTGTTGGGCACAGCACAGCCCCATGTTCGTGACTATCAGTATTTTGAGTTTTGTCCCTTGAACTAAGTTTTGTCATTAGTTACATATTCTTTTCCATATTCTGTGTCCTGACCTATCATGTTTTAGACCTTGGCCATGTCTTTGGGCTTTAATTTCAAGGATGTCTTGTCTTGGTTAGGGGCTCTGATTCACAGTTTATACACTGTCTCATGTTTTAACTTTTATTCGACGTCCTGTCTGGACCTTGGGTTCTGAATTTTCTCTCAAATTCTAAGCCACATTTTATGTTAATATATCCTGGGTTTTACCACACTTGGGGTTTATATTTGTGATGCTGTATTTTGGATCTTGTCCAAAATCCTGTGCTGATCAAATAGCTTGGGCCTTACCATTTCCCCTACTGTAGGAAGTATGGTTCTCTTACCAGTTGTGCTCTCTTTTCCAGTAACTCTCTGACCTGGTATGGTGAGGAATCCTATATCCAGAGCCTGGAGCCAGGGGCTAAGGTAGTGACTTGAGCCCGAGGGTCAACCTAAGGCATTGGGAAATCCTTAGTGAAAGACTGGGGTGGACCTGGATTGAGTGGAGGTGATAAAGGGCAAAGGAGGAGACTACCAGAGGGTTTGTACATGTGGAGCCTGTGGTACCTGCCACCCCATTCCACCCCTACTCACTCCTGTCCCTTCCCCTAATTTGTCAGTGCTTTGCAGTCCGCTCTCTGGGCTGGGTGGAGGTGCCGGAAGAAGACCTGGCACCAGGAAAGAGTAGTATTGCAGTCAATAACTGTATCCAGCAGCTGGCTCAGACCCACAACCGTAGCCAGCCCCCAGATGGTGCCTGGGGTGAGGTGAGTTATCTGGCTGCCCAATGGGTTCAGTCTATGGACCAGCAGAAGTAGTTGTCCCCGAGTTACCTGTTTCCTATGGCAACCACTTTTATCTGATCTTTGGGATGACTGTCCTTGGCAGGGCCAGAACATGCTTATGATTCTGAAGAAGGATGCCATGAGCCTAGTGAATCCACTGGACCATAGTCTGATCCACTGCCAGCCTCTGGTGCACATTCGTGTATGGGGCGTGGGCAGCTCCAAGGGCCGGTGAGGACATCTGCATCTCCCCAAGCGAGAGCTGCTTCTCCCTCCCCCCTGCAGGCTGTGATCCCCACTGATGCTGATCCCTGGTACTTGAACCCCTGGACACAGATCCTCTGACATGGACCCAGCACTGCCTCCCCTGCCTGGTTCAGCCCTGGTTGGGGAGGGTGGGCCCAGCTCAGCAGGGACAGATAGGGGACAGCCTGAAAGGCTGGGCTGATTCTCTCCTGTGCTCCCACATGCTTCTGGAACAGTGACAGGTACGTGACAACCAGGTACCCTGACTCCCAGCCCTAACCTCCCCACTCCATCTTTGCTGTATTCCTAGACTGATTTTAAAAGCTTCTTGTAGGCACTATAGGCCCCTGCCTCTAACCAGCTCTATCCCAGCCCCATCTCTGCTTTTGCCAGGGACTTCGCTTTTGTGGCGGGTGACAAAGACAGCTGTATGCTCAAGTGCCATGTGTTTCGCTGTGATGTCCCTGCCAAAGCTATTGCAAGTGCCCTACATGGGCTCTGTGCTCAGGTAAGGGCTAAGGGTCGGGGGGCAGGACATGTGGTTGTGGAGCTGGGGCTGGAGTTTTCAAGATAGTTGGGTCAGGGTGTTATTGACCCCTTCACCCAAATTCCTCCTTCTCTCTGAGTCTCATGCTGATTGCATTTATTTTAGATCTTGTCAGAGCGAGTAGGGGTCAGTGGTGATTCTGTTTGCTGCTCCCCAGATCCCATCTCCCCTGAAGACCTGCCACGGCAAGGTACAGGAAAAGGGCTGCTATATTGGAGCATCAGGATGTTTGATGAAAGATGGGAGTTGGGGAGGTTCCTGGTCATTTAGCACAGCTCCAGAAATGTGAGATTTCTGAGATGTCTGGCCCCAGGGATCCCAAGCCCTAAAATGGAGGAACATCCATGGGCTTTCTTTTATTAGCAACATCTCTGTCCTGGGTCCTGGCCCACTCAGAAGGGTAGGCTAGGTATAATGGAGAGTTCCCATGCCAACTTACTGTTTACATTTTAGCGGAACTGCTGGATGCTGTGAGTCAGTCTGCTCAGAAATATGAGGCACTGTACATGGGGACCCTGCCAGTCACCAAAGCCATGGGTGAGGACTGAAGGGGCTGGATGGGTTGGGATGCATAAGACAAGGGGAAGGTGGGTAGGGTGGGATCTACTATTTCTTGGAGACCTCCCATGGCCTTACATAGCCTAGGATGTACCAGCTTTCCCAACTCAAAGTTCTAATTCCAGCCCCAGCTATATTCTTCTCATCTTTCTGAATCCCAAGTCAGTGAGAGGGCCTAGATACTCTCTGCAGACCCTTTCTTTCTTTGTAACTGGGAGACATTACAGTTGTCATGTCCCCTCAGGAATGGATGTGCTGAACGAGGCCATTGGTACCCTCACTGCCCGCGGGGACAAGAATGCCTGGGTTCCTGCTGTGCTCAGTGTATCTGATTCTCTCATGACTGCACATTCCATTCAGGTACCAGAAGAGGGTGAAGTAGGGAGCCTGTGGAGGGTTAGCAAGGATGCTGAGGGGGTCTGCTGGAAGAGATAGTGGGCCTGACCAGTGCTTGATCCTCTAATGACTGGCCTGGTATGGACAGGCAGAGGCCAGTGCAGAGGAGGAGCCACTGTGGCAGTGCCCTGTGCGCCTTGTGACCTTTATTGGCGTTGGCCATGACCCACACACCTTTGGCCTCATCGCTGACCTTGGTCGTCAGAGCTTCCAGTGTGCAGCCTTCTGGTGCCAGCCTCATGCTGGGGGACTCTCTGAAGCTGTGCAGGCTGCCTGTATGGTGAGTTGGGGGTTGGCATTCATGGGTGGAATTGTCCTGTAGCTGCTGTATACCATGGACTGGGCTCACGATTGGCAGCCTTGCCACAAATCACAAACCAGTGACCCTAGGGCTGATTGGTTCATCAGTATTTTGGCCCTTGTTCTATTTTTAGTAAGTTTTGATTAGGTGCCAATATTTACAGGCTAGAAGATTTTATATAGTTATTACTATACCTGCATTTCTTAAATTATGAAGAGTCTGACACAGGGTTCAAATGTAAAATTTCAGCATGTAGGTGGAGTTCTGTAGGGACTCTGCTACATAGGTTTGGCATTGTCTTTTCTGTTTGTCTCATTTAGGTTATTTCTTGGCATATGTGGGCATTCAAATGTGGTATGCTTAAACTCCACTAATTCAGTTCACTTATTTATTCAACAGATGATGAGTACCTATAAATTATATGCACCACACTTGACCCTGGTAATTCAGCAATATAGAAGGCACATCTTACCTTCACAGAATACTTAGGATAGAACAGAAACACATCAGGAAGAGGTTGTATACCATGGGGTGATAGAGGAGATTTCCTTCAGGAGAGAAAATTGAGATGACCTAAGAGGAAGTTATGTGAAGCAGAGTGGGACAGTTATGCTGAGTACAGGAAACTTCAATTGTAAAGGAGAGAGACAGAAAGAGAGGGGGGGGGGCGGGAAGGGAGGGAGAGAGAGATGTGTTAGTGGATTAGAGTATGTGGCAATGCAAGGGAAGGTGTAGTGAGAGATGAAGGCAAAAACCAGGTCATGGGTCGAGCTGATGAGTTTATTTTATCCAGGGGTATGAGGAACCAATGAAGGATTTTGAGCAAGACAGTTAAGTTTCGTTTGTGGTTTAGGATGACCACTTAAGCTATAATATGGATAAAAACTTTAGAGGACACAGAGAGGAGGTAGGAAGGCTAATTGGGACCCTCATTAATAGTTCAAATGAGATAATTTGAGCAGTTGTACTGGGAATGTATTGGGGTTGTAGACCCTCCCCTTGATTAGAGAATATGCTTTGGTGAGGACTGATCAGATCAGAGGTAGCCTAGTGGTAGGTGTGGTTAAGAGTACAGGCTCTATAGTCAAAACTAGGTTTGAATGACAGTTCACCATTTTCTGGCTACATGACCTTGAGTAAGTCTTCTACTCTCTCTGAATCTTAACTTCCTCATTTGGAAAATGGGGATAATAACACCTCATAAAAAGCTGAATTAAGTTATATTATTATATCAAACACTTACCAGTGTCCAGCCTTCCTTAATTTCTCAGTAAATATCAAGTTTTATGTTTTTGCTGTTGAACTACTTGACAGTATTGTAAGGACTGCAGATAGGCTAACTACCAGCCTTGTATCAGATAGAAGCCTTGTCCAGTTTTCTGTCCTGCAGAAGCTTTCAAGGAGTCCAGGGGCAGAGAGTAGCTGTATCCTCACATCACCCTTCTCCCTAGGTTCAGTACCAGAAGTGTCTTGTGGCCTCTGCAGCTCGAGGCAAGGCCTGGGGTGCCCAGGCCCGTGCCCGCCTGCGGCTCAAGCGGACCAGCTCCATGGACTCCCCAGGAGGTCCCCTGCCTCTGCCCCTACTCAAAGGAGGGGTTGGGGGTGCAGGGGCAGCCCCTCGAAAGCGGGGTGTCTTCTCTTTTCTTGATGCTTTCCGTCTGAAACCCTCTCTACTCCATATGCCCTAAATTGATCTTAGAGGGCTGGGGAAGGAGGCTCTGGATTCATGCCCAACTCTGTACCCCTTCATGTCCCAGGGGCCTGCAACCTCTCACCTTTCCTGGCTGTTCGGGATCCTTGCTTACCCTCTATTTATTGCCCAACTTATTGTTTATATGGATGACTGAGAGGCCCTGCACTACAACTTAGGCCCCTGGTTCCCCTTACCTTGGATCCTTGTGTTCCTTGACCCTGTCCAGCCCTGGGCAGTTGGCTCTACCTCAGCAACACTTTATAGAAAAATAAGTGCAAATAAAAATCCCTCAGTGACCTCACTAGGTGTGAGTATATTGGACCTGGGACAGGGTTGGGGGCTAACAACCTGTGAGGGGTGAGCGTGACTATGAGGGCATGGATGTAATTGACACCTGACTTCATTCAACAAACATTTTCTAAGGTCTTCTTTGTGCTAGATACTAAGCTAGGTGCTGGGGATGTACTAGTCAGATCCCACCTTCTGAGACTCCTAGGGGAGATAAACAAGTCAAACAAAATAGAAGATGCTATGTAGTACAACTAGGAAATCTTCAGAAGAGTATTGTGGTAGCACGGTGAGACACTTAACCTAGCCTAATGTGTTACAGAAGACTTTGGAAGAGCTGACATTTAAGCCGAGTGTTGAAGAAAGATGAGTACTAAGTGAGTCTAGAGAAAATAAATGTGGTGAATGTGTAGGGCACTGGACAGAGGTGAGGCTCCGGGAGTTGACCTGGCTAGATCACTGACAGGGTACACGTGGGGCCTGAATTTTTGGTGGTTTGAACTTGCTCCTGAGAACAATTGGGAGAGATTAGACCCTGAAGACTAGGGCTCCCTAGAGCGCCAGGTCCTCCGAAAAACAGCATCGTTTGGTGCCTTGTGACCAGGGTCCCGAAGGATCTTTAGCTGGCGATTTCGAGTCCCTTAGGGAATTGGCGCAGGGTCCCTGCGGTTCTCGGCGGTTGAAAAGAACCGTCCAAACAAGGCCTCCAAGCAGCCAGCGCCGCCTGGCACACATTCCAACTAGCCCGCGTGATCGACGGCCCCGGAAATGACGCGCTGCCTCGCTGGCAGTGCGGAAGTGGAGATGGCGGAGCTGTATGTGAAACCGGGTGAGCGCAGCTGGGGGCGCCGGGTGCGGACCTCTATCTTCCCAAGCCCCAGTGAAACCTTCTGGTGGAGTCCGGCTCTCGCTTTACACATTCCCTCGCCTCCACAGGCAACAAGGAGCGCGGCTGGAACGACCCGCCGCAGTTCTCTTACGGGCTGCAGACCCAGACTGGCGGACCCAAGCGCACGCCGCTCACTAAGAGGGTCGCCGCCCCGCAGGATGGATCCCCCAGAGGTGCGTGGGGGCCCTATACACGGAGTCCCGCGGAGAATGGGCGGTGTTAGGGATAAGCGTGACCCAAAGGTCTGTTTCTCTCTTCTGAGGAGACGTCCCGCCACAAGACTGGGACCCCAGTAAGGGGCCCAGAGCAGATGTTTTTTTTTTTTTTTTTAAAGAGAGAGAGAGAGAGAGAGAATTTTTAATATTTATTTTTTAGTTCTCGGCGGACACAACATCTTTGTTGGTATGTGGTGCTGAGGATCGAACCCGGGCCGCACGCATGCCAGGAGAGCACGCTACCGCTGGAGCCACATCCCCAGCCCCAGAGCAGATGTTTTTGAGCTCCCTCTCTGCCGCTTAGACCAATAAATGTTTATTTAAGAAGACTCTTTAATACCTTGATCCTAAGTGATCTTATCAAGAGTATTCTCAAGTTGTTTCCAATCTAGTCCTCTTCTTAGAATCCCATAGTGATACATCGATTTAGCCCTTTTACCTCTTCACTTGGGTATAGTAGGCCTCTGAGACTTGATGTGTTACTCATCTATTTATCATTAACTACCTAGCGTTGGCAACAGATTAAATATTGATTTAATATTTAATGGTATTTAATGTCATGGCTTGAATAAGATGACATTAAATCAAAGGGCTCTGCAGAGAAATAACAGAGTGATATGTTACTGGGTGACTAAATTAGGCATCTGAGGGGTTGAAATCTAGTAACTAGAAGCCAGTCGATGATCAGGTGCAAGAAAATTTCAAAGCTAGTGCAAAGGTCCTGGGATAAGAAAAAGATTGGATACTGAAGAAGTAGAATGGCTACAACATAGTGAGTTTTGCCAGGAAAAGGAGTTTGCATTTTAATCTACAAAGTTGGAAGCTACTGAAAAGTTTAAAGTAGAGAAGGGCTGTCTTTCCCTCTTAAAGTTTCCTAGGACAGAAGTGGGCAGTCACCTGCACAATGGGCTCAGGTGAATTTCTTTTAGCATCTCTTCATCCTTTACACCCTTTTCACTGCAAAGGAGTGATAAGGAAGGCAGGGTTTCTTAACCATGGCACTACTGATTTTAGGCCAAGTTATTCTTTGCTGGATACTCTCTTTTGCGTTGTAGTTTCTTCAGCAGCACCCTTGATCCTCTACCCAGTAGATGCCAGTAGTGTTCAGTCAGTTGTGTTCAGATGTTTGCTCTCCAGCATGGGAACCACTAATTGATTTACATCTTTAAAAGATCACTGTGTCTGCTGTGTGGAAAAAGATTTTAGGGAAGAAATGAACAACAAATCAAGAAGCTATTACAGTAATACTGGCAAGATTTAATGATTTGACAAGGAAGGAAGTAGTGGGGATGATAGGAATTAGGTGTACATAGGTTTTGTTGTGGAAATAGTAAGAATAAGTAAATAGAAATCAATATGGTTTTTTGTTTGTTTATTTGACATGGGGAGATTGGAGGATAGAGGTTTTGTGGGGAGGGAAAAAGCAAGTTTTCAGTTTGGGCCATATTTAAGTTTGGGTTGCTGCTATCTTTGGAGAGAAAGAGGGCTAGATCAGATTAGAGAAAGTCACCAACAGTAGATGGTATTTAATGGCATGGCTTGAATAAGATGACATAAAGAGAGGTTGTGGATAGAGACCTAAAAAGGTGCTCTAGGGCTTTCTAGCATTTCAAGGTTATGTATAAGAGGGAGCAGCAAAGATTAAGCAGTGGCCAAAGAAGAATAGGGGACAGTAAAATCAAGAATCAACAGAGGTCAAGAGAGATAGAGACCTCTATATCTGACAAACACTGCAATTACTGCTGACCTTAACAAGAACAGTCTCTATAGAGAGTGGTGAAAACAAATTTAGCTGGAATGGGCTGAGAAGAGAATATGAAAAATACAGAGTAATTATAGACATTTCACTCAGAAAGTTTTGTGAAGCAGAGATGAGAAAATGGGGCAATGTTGGAAAATGCAATAATGTGAAGGAAGGATTGCTTTTGATAGTATATAATACAATATGTTTGTATGCTGACTGAGAACCAGAACTGATGATGCAGAAGAAAAGGAATAATAGCTGGAGATGGATTTTGATAGAAGCAGGAAGCTTTCATTTATTACAGAAGGAAGGAAAGTGGGCACAGATGCAGATAAGCTAGTAAAAGTGGTGGTGGGAAGATGAGAGAGTTCATGTTTGATGACCTGTATTTTCTCAATGAAACATGAGGCAGGATCAGAGGTGGAGAGACAGTAGGCAAACAAAAGAGTGAGACAGTAGAAAAGTTTAGAAGACATGTGTCCAGGCAGTGTTTGGTATGTTTTAACATCGGTGGCCATTAAAAGTATTAAGTTATCATTTATCAGTTTGGTTCTGTTTTCTTCCCAAGTGTAGGCACTATGGTTTAACCAATAAAGTGGGACAAAAGGAAGAGAGGGAAGAGGTAAAAGTGTTTCAAAGGGAGTAGCTGTTATGCACCAGGGAATCTGAGTAGTTGAGCTGGAAGGGTAGGAGGGGCAGTCAAATTTTGGAGATGATACAATGTTGTGGACAAAGCATTGGGGAATAAAAGGGAGGAACAAAATGATCACTGGAGTGCTGGGGCTGTAGCTCAGTGGTAGAGGGCTCACCTAGCAGGTGTGAGGCACTGGGTTTGATCCTAAGCACCACATAAAAGTAAACAAATAAAGGCATGCTGTTCATCTACAACTACCAAAAAAAAAAAAAAAAAAAAATCACTGGAGGTGCAGGAGTAAAGTAACTGAGGCCTAATTATTAGATGCATTAATCATCTTTGTAGATGCTAATGCCTGAAACTTAAGTTCTTGACTTTCTTCCTCCAGTTACTGGTCAGAAACAAGTCATCTTGATTCTTCACTCAACTGTTATAACCAAATCCTGTTGCTGCCCCCTCCTAAATAAATCTCGGACTGCTTTTCCCCCCTCATCTATTCTTTTACCATAGTTATGGCTAGGCATTCTCTTTTTCCTGGACCATCTCATTAATCAACTGGCTCTATTCTCGATCTGTTCTCATCAATTTGTCATGAAACATACATCTTAAAAAATAAGTTGGGAGAGCTGGGGTTGTGGCTCAGTGGCAAAGCACTTGCCTCACGTGTGTGAGGCACTGGGTTTGATCCTCAGCACTACAGAAAAATAAACAACAACAACAAAAAGATTATAAGAAATAAATGTCTGGGGCTGGGGATGTGGCTCAGGCGGTAGCACGCTTGCCTGGCATGCGTGCGGCCCGGGTTTGATCTTCTGCACCACATACAAAGAAAGATGGTGTGTCCGCTGAAAACTGAAAAATAAATATTAAAAATAAAAAAGAAAGAAAGAAAGAAATGTTGGGCACTGCAGAGTGGTGCATGCTTGGCTCCAGAGGCTGAGACAGTAGTATTGAGAGATTAAGGCCAGCCTTAGCAAAAAAAAAAAAAAAAAAAAAGTGAGGTGCTAAACAACTCACTGTAGATCCTGTCTCTAAATAAGATATAAAAATAGGGCTGGGGATGTGGCTTAGTGTCAAGTGCCCCTGGTTCAATCCCCAGTACCCTGCCTTCCACAATAATAATAATAATAATAATAATAATAAGAAGAAGAAGAAGAAGAAGAAGAAGAAGAAGTTGGGCCATGTTACTCCTTGCTTCTATAAAACTGTAGTGGCTTCCCAGGACTGTAGGGCTCGAGATCAAACTCCAAGGCCCTACAGGAACTGGACTGCTTCTCCAGTCATGGCTTACACTGCTTTCTTCAGTTTTAATAAGTCTTAGGAAGCTGGGCAGTTGCACACTTAGAATCCCAACAACACACAGGAGGCTGAGGCAGGAGGATTGCAAATTCAAAACCAGCCTCAGCAACTTAGTGAGACTCTGTCTCAAAATTCAAAAACAGAAAAAGGTTAGGAATGTGGCCCAGCTACATTGAAGCACTTTTCAGTCCAATCCCTGGTATCCCTGCCCCCCAACAATTCAGTACTCATTTAACTCTTCATAGCTGCATCTATTGTATCCATTAGTTCTCAACTTAATAAAAACTGTTAGCTTTGTATTTTTTGTTACACACTAATCTAGCAGCTGTACTTGTATAAACAACTTAGGTCTTTCTATACTCTTTATCACATAGTACATTTTATTTCTTTACAGCATGTAACATGATTTGGCAGTTGTGTCTCCAACCCCTCTAGAATTTAAGCTCTCTAAAGGCAGGAACCTAATTTGTCTGGTTTACTCTATCTTTGGCACCTAGCACATTGTCTGCACCTAGTAGGAACTTCATGCACATTTTTAAGTGGATGAGTTGTCCTAGAGTATCCCTGCTTAGAAGGGGTGACTTTAGTGTTGAGTTTCTTACCTATTTGAGCCATGCTACTTGAATCCTGCTTTACTTTTTCAGTCTTCACCTCAGAGACTTCTCCTGGGCCTCCTCCAATGGGCCCTCCACCTCTTTCAAGTAAGGCCCTTGGTCCCCCCTCTGTGGGGAGCTGTCCTGTCTCCAGAGTGCAGCCCACAGGTTTCCGAGTCATCGAGTCTGAGGCTCTGATGGAGGATGTGCTGAGACCTTTGGAACAGGCATTGGAGGATTGCCGTGGCCACATGAAGGTAAGCCCTGGCCCTCCAGGGAGTGTGGGAGAACTCCTTTCCATAGCCAGATGCAAGTATGGCTCCCAAAGGTAGACCTTCTGACCCTGTAGGCAATGATTCTTAATCCTGTCAGAGTTATGGACCCCTTCAGAATCTGCTAAGGCCTTCCCAAGAAAATAAACAGGATTTCAGGAGGGTGCACAAGACTTCTGCAGAACTAGTCAACAGTAGAGTTGTAGGAATGAGTTGAATTAAATTCCCATTAGTGGAAAATAGTAGTTTAATTTTCAGTATCTCCAGGCCATTCAGAGCATACCCTGCTGGTTTTGTACTCAGTGGGGAAGAGGAAATCTTTATCTATGGTGTTTCCTAAGCTCTCCGGACGCAAGGGATCAAGGAAAGAGGAAGTAACATAGTAATTTCATCTATTTGGCTCTTAAGTCTCTTTTTTTTTGTAAATTAACCTTATGACTTCTGAGGGTCTGAGAAGCCCCCCAAATTTTAAAATTCTAGCCAAACATGCATGTTTTCTTGGAAGAAGATCCATAGGCCTCAACAGGTTCTCAGTGAGGGCCTCTAACCTTTGGGTAAAGAACCAGATCTCTAAAAGACAAAACGTAAGGTCCTGGGCCAGAGATTAGCAGATGCATTCCTATGATACTGCCTTCCCCTTTCCTCACTGGGCTGGCACCACTTGAGTTGGAGGGCATTTGTCTTTCAGAAGCAGGTATGTGATGACATCAGTCGACGCCTGACACTGCTTCAGGAACAGTGGGCTGGAGGGAAGTTGTCAGTGCCTGTTAAGAAGAGGATGGCACTACTGGTGCAAGGTATGGGTGGCTTCTGGTATAGCCTAAATCTCTTGCCCTGCCATGGTTGGTTAAGCTGGAACAGGTGCTAAGATTTTGAACTCTGGGATGGGAGGCATGAAAGCTCTTTTTTTAGTACATTCTGCTTGCTCAAGCCCTGTTTCTCCTCAGAGCTTTCAAGCCACCGGTGGGATGTAGCAGATGACATTCATCGCTCCCTCATGGTTGATCATGTGACTGAGGTCAGTCAGTGGATGGTGGGAGTTAAAAGATTAATTGCGGAAAAGAGGAGTATGTCTTCAGAGGAGGAGGCCAATGAAGAGAAATCTGCAGCAGCTGCTGAGGAGAACCAAACTATACCAGGCTTTCAAGAGGCGCTATAATTCTGGGGATTCCCCAGACTCACCTAGCCTGTTTCTTATGCCTTGGTGTGGAGGCCTTCTCTCACTTGACTCTATTTTACCACCAGGGAGACTGTCCCATTGGAACTGACCCAAGATCCAATCTGGGGTACAGGGAGCTCACTTGTTAACCCATAACATATGCATTTCAATAAAAACATCTCAGTTGTGGGCACTGGGTGGGAAGAGATGAACCCTTCATATGTCAAACTGGTCCCCAATACTGTCCTTGACAGCCCACTCCTTGCATACCCTATAAACTCTGTTATCCTTCCTCCACACATCATGCCTAGCTGGGCATGATCAGATTGCTGCTTGCCACTTTTACCAAAATTAGATCAAGAAACTCATTTCTTGTAGCCCGTCTTTGAATGAGAACAGATTCAAATAGCCTAGCATGTGGATGCTTTTCTTGCAAGGAAAGGAGACTCCCTTATATACCTTCCATCTTTGAGGTATACAGATAGTAGAGATTAGAACCAGTGAGTGGTTTTTGCTATAGAGAATGAAGGCGATGACCAGATACTGAGATTTGGGATCATTACTGACTCATCAGGCAAACTGCTACCTCATTTTGGCCTTTAGTGTGGACCTTAAGGTTTCTTCTAAACCTATGTAAACAACAGTGCTGTAAGAAAGGAATGCACAAGGTTTTCAGTATTGGAATGGGGATTGGTACTTACAGGTAGTAGGAGGTAGAAATAGCAAGGAGAGACAAGAGATTGGCTATAGGCTGTGAAATCACCTCATCCAGAGAGTGCTGCTTAGGAATGGAGAGGGGAGGGCTGTTGGGGAGGCCCAGTTCCAAGAAGACTGCTTCCTGGAAAGACAGGAATATCCCCTGGCAAGGGCCAGGCTATTGCTGTTCATGATTTGGCGACTCCTACAGTCTGTCCCAGGCTGCTAGAAGTTGACTCAGGGGGAGCTGGGAACAGACCTGGACCTCTCATAAGCCTGCTAGGGCCCTCAGCTGTGTGGCTAAGATGAGAAGACCACCACTGAGGAGAACACTGGAGCCAAGACTTTTGTTTGAATATTTACTAAGCAGCCAGAAGGTGACATATTCTGTCTTTCAGTCCTAGCCCTTAGCATAGAGGCCTGGGGGTTGGGAGGAGTACCTAAAGACCAAAGAGAAAGGAGATCTAAGGGCTTGGCAAGTAGCCCACTCCTATCCCTGGTCTAGCTGCCCCAGATTTAAAGGAGGTCCGCAACCAACAAGTCACTCCTTTCCAGATTAGATGAGGCTAGCTGTCCTTTGGATATCCGAGAAAGAGGTGGTGGCAACAGCGGCATGGGATCCCTCTATAACGCCACACGGGGGGGATCATCTGCACTGGATTAGAAGTCCATTTCAAATTGTGCGTCATCTGGAGAAAGAAAAAGCAGGGCTGGTTGGTAGCCTGAAGGTCTGTAGGCCTATGGCCAGTGTGGAAACCCCTCTTGGAATTGAACCCCACTCTACTTCACAGAGGCATCTCAACTCAAAGGATGAGGCATTTCCTAATTTTAGATACTGCTTTCCTTACCGGGTATCTCTTCCTCTGTCTCCTTCTGCTCCTTCAGCAACTCTAGTTTGGAGGGTAGGACTGTTGGAGGAGTTGTGACCCCGGGAATCTGAGGGAGGCAGCAGGGGGGTGTCCGGGCAATGGGTGAGTTCTTGCACTCCAGCAGGAACTTTCGGTCGTAGATGATCCTGGTGCCTGTTAAAGGGTAGGGGCTGAGGTTAAGAGTCAGGAACTTGGGCTCAAAGGTGATTAGGATCCCAGGCATCAGCCTTTTGAGGACTGTGTTGGGGGGTGTAAGACTGTCACATTTCCCAGTGTGTAGACTGACTAGGACCTCTACTGACAAGGCTTCATGGCACTGAAAGACTACCAGGCCTAACCAAGATGTGTCTAAGCATCATAAAGCAACTGGGCTTTCCAGTTAGTCCATCCAGGGGACTTAGGTTTGGGGGAGTTTCAGGTCTTAGTTCTAAAAAGGAGCACCAAACTTTGAGCTCAGGGTCTGCTACTCTTAAGCTTTGACATTTTCTTGGTTTGGTTCACAAGGTGGGATATAGTTGCCCCACAGCTGTGAAGGGGGCACTCATCTCCTGCAAAGAGAAGCTGTGTTCTTCCAGATACTTGCTTTCCTCATGAAAAAGGGGGACATACTGTTCTTATTCTGACCACTCCCAAGTCCTTAAAGTCTCAGCCTTCTAGCTCAAGGGAAATCAGCCAGCATTGTTGACCTCAAAGGGAACTGCCCAGTTCTCGCCCCTCCCCTTTACCCAGGAATTGCTGGGTAGGGAACCCAGCGGCTCAAGTTCTCAGGCTGCTGGCTCAACCAGCAGCAGGGGAAGCCTGGACTTTTATCTATCACAGCTAAAAGACAGAGCCAGCTGCACATACCTGAACCCCCTACCCCTAACAGCTCTAACAAAGATTTGGTGCTTCCTGCTCAGGCCACCTTCTACTGGGACCTAGGCGCTTACTCCCAGGAAGCAAATTTGCTAAAGATAGGCGCATATGGAAAACCCCCAGAAACAAGGCCAGAGAGAGGAATCTACTCACTGTCACCGAAGATGGGCTCAAGGTACTGTTACAGCACTTTCAGGTTTTGGGGAACTAAGTTTCGGTTCCAAAACCCTCCCTCAAACCTACAACCTGCAGAGGGGCCTGCAGACAAAGAAATCTACAGCCCACGCCTACCCACCCCCGCCCGCAACAGCACGCACGCGCTGGTTTGCCAGCACTCTGCGGACTCCGACCCGGCCCGCTGACCTCCCGGGGTAGTGGCGTATAGCGTGCCCCCCGGCGTAGTGCTGTAGCAATCGGGCAGCCGTTCCCGGCCCCCCGGAATCGGGCAGCTCGTGGACGTGGACATAGCAGACAGGAGGTGCAGGAAGGCAACCGGGCTGGTGCTGTGGCGCGGAATGCTGCTGAGTCTGAGGCGGACTTGGTTGACCACGTGCGGCCGCAGCAAAAACACTAGGACGACGTCACGCCCGGGGCGGGCCACTCGCTGTCACTCAACCCGACGGCGCCACCTACTCGCTAGAGAGCAACCAGACTCCTTAGAGGTGGGGGAAAGTCTAAGACTCTGCACAAGCCTTCAGATCCACCTGGTGCAACATTTGCCAGCTTTCCTCTCAATACTGCAACAGTTTAGCAGTTTACTGCTTACACCTGGGCTCCTGGGGAGTACAGCTGGCTTATTCCTCTCAAAAGTTTTGGACAGTAAAGCACTATTAATAGCCATATTTTACAATGAGGCAAATAAGCCCAGGCAGGAAAATCTGTTTCAAAGAAACAAATGTTGTTGGAGGGGTCCTAAGTGTATCTCACTTCAGAACCTGGTCCCTTCAACACAGCTGTGTACTGGCCACTAGAAACAATCAATTGAGGCTGTGGGCTTAGCTAAGTGGTAGAGTGATTGATTAGCATGCGAGACCCTTGGTTTGATTCCCAGCACAGGAAATACACGATTGCTATATGGTGTGAAAATGCCTTAATGGCCTTGACCACGGCAAGGGACTTCTTTCTTCAGGGAGCTTTCTGAAGAAGTTGTACCTGGGCTAAAGGATGAGTGGGCCCTGAGGGACAGGGGGAGGCTGCAGTTTGAGAAATCAAGAGGGGAGGCTTGGTCTTTTATCTATCACAGCTGAGGATAGGTAGGGGATCTGGTCATTTAGCTCTGTGAAAGGGAAGGTCGGAGGGAGTGTCTAACCTTATTACCCCCCCAAATTAAGTATAGCACCTGACCACATGCATATACTGGTATTACCTCAGTTATTGATTCATTAGAATTTCCCTTAGCTTTAATTCTGTCCCTCATTTAAAAAAAGATTATAAATCAGTGCTTCTTAAACTTTAACGTGCATATAAATCACCTGCAGACCTCAATGAGAACTCTGATATACTATGTCCTGGTGAGATTCTGGATTTTAAATACATTCCCAGGTAATACAGGTGCTGCAGATTCTCAAAATCATATTTCAGACAGCAAGGATATGTATGCTTAATAGTTCCAAACAGTTTTGAAGAAAGCATCCTACAAAGTGGTGCACACCTAAATGATGTACATTAACTGAGATGGAGAGCAAGGCTTGGGAACAAATTATAGAGTCATCTGATAAGTCATCTTTTAAGCAAGGTGATGAAGAAGTCTGTTCAGGGAGGCATGGGGTAGAGGACCATGAGATTGAAGATGGGAAGCCCAACAGTGAAAGCAGGTACGCAAAAGGGCTATAGGGATAAAGATAAATATATAAGACTCAGATAGATACAAAGAGGAGAAAGAACAAGGTGATTGATTAAGGGTGGGGTGAAGGAAATGGAGATAAGCCAGGATACTTCCCTATCTTCTGGTTTGACAGCCTTGGTAGCTAGAATGCTAGTATAATAGGGAAAACAAGACAAGGAGCATTGGGGAATGAATATTGTGTGTGGAATGCCCAGGTAAAGCACAACATGGAGCTAAATATATTGGTCTGAAGTTCACAGGGAGAACTCAGGCTAGTGCTTCATATTTGAGTGGAATGAAATCCCAGAGTATGGAAGGAGATAACCTTGGGAGAAGATTCAGTGTAAGACAAGCCCTAAGCACATCAACATTTATTTAAGGAAGAAGGATTCACCAAAACAGAAAGAGCAGTCAGAAACAGATCTGGGAGAAGTTTTCAAGAAGGATCCATGTCTAAAAAATATCTACTACAAAATAGCAGCAGTAGATATCACTACTATCTGCACTACTGCATGAAGCTAACTTTTTGGAGACACTAGGTGGAATAAGTTTGGAGAACTAGAAAATAGGTTGTTGGCTTTAGAGAGAAAACCAGATTTATTATCCATGCAACCTGAATAAGGAACAAGAGTTTAAATCAGAGAGTTAATACTCACTAGATATGGAAGTTTAAAAAATACCTATGCCCAGGCCCCACTCCAGGGACTACATTAAACATATGAGGAAATACCAGGTCTCCACCACTAGGCAAACTGGCTGAAGTCACACCAATACCATCAAGATGAACTTTCCTAGCATATGCAAGACCCTGCATTAGATCACCAGCACTATGCAAAGATAAATAAAGGATAAGATAAGTATGCAATAGATGATTTGATTTATGACCTTGTTTTCCAAATTAGGGCTTGAAGCCTAGGCTAATTCCCTTTTTATTGGAGGTGATCTTAACACATTCAAAGAATTTTAAACTTCAAATCACATTTTTCTCAGTCCTTTCCTATAGGAAAGAGTGAAGGTGAAGGAACTAGCCTGTTGGAAAATGACAAGGCATTAAAGGTGAATTAAAAGTACAGCGTTATCAGAGCCCTTCACCCCAGTACAGGGTCCACTGGGAAGACGTCATGACCAGCCATACTTCTCTGTAGAAATTCTTCTTGTTAGTCAGAGAACAAGATGTTCAAAGTTGTTTTCCTACAGGCTTGTTTGCCTCTTCCTGGGTTTACAATGTGGTCCAAAGGTCTTCAACAGTGGGATACAATCATGTATACCAAATACTCCTCTCTGCTTAGCATGAAACTATCATATGACCAGCTTCTCTTCTACAACCTAACTCTAACTAAGATGGTCCCCCTTGTGCCCTAGTTTTGAGATCAGCAGGAGGATTTGGCCAGAATCTACACAAAAAGATGGAAACTGAAGTTCCAAGTCCTAAAATTTCTTACCTCTGGTTAGGAGAGGGCACCATTGGCTGTCCAACTCTCTTCTTTGGTCTGGTTAGATGAGGTGATGGGATTTCCCCCTTGAGAGCAGGGACTGAAGAAAGCAGACTGGCCTATAAAAGGGCAAGTCAGCACACTGTAGCCACAATAGATTTAAGGGGGTCTTACAACATCAATAATTTTATTGATGGTGGAATTTTGTTAACACTGAATACTATTTGAAATAAGAGAGTCTAGAAATCTTAATGATATATTTTATTCCTTGAAAGAGCTGTTACTCTCATGCAGTTTGACTTCTATTTTAGCAGGATGTTTCTAATGACTTGAAGGACTACTATGGATGTGCAAGGTTTTCTTCTACCTTCACTAAAATCTCCAAAATCAATACTCATCCCCAGAATAGCAGGCTTTTTTCCCCCATCTCAGAACCAAACCTCAGTACTGTAAACATTTTAATGGTTTCCAGTATTTGCAGACCATATAATCTCATTCACAAGAAAAAGGAGAAAATTTATGTTAGAACTAGAGGACTCTCTTGAGTTTCATTTAAGTTTAATTTCATTTTCAGATGATGAAAGCGAAGCCCAGAAAGGTGAAATGACATGCCTAAAGTCATAGTGCTTCAAGTGGCAGAAATGAAAATAGAATTTAGGCTTCTGACTCTTGTTCTACCATACCCACACTGCTTCCCCCCATATCCCTTGTATATTTTGAAAGTAATCAAGTTCTTACCTGAGCTAAGTTTTATCCAATGTTCAGGTTGGTAAATAGCAGTAAAGGAATGCCAGGAAGAGGCAGGCAGAGGAAGAAGAGATTATAGCAGGCGAAATGGGGTTGGGAGCTGGCTACCAGGATCCAAATAGAAAGAAAGGAAGGCAGGGCTGATAAAAGAGTAGTAGTTCCTAAGGAACTACATTCACTGTACAACTCCTGTTTCTTCCTAATTCTCCTAGGGTTTTCTCCTTTTGTTGTTTTCTAGGTGCAGATTTAAGGGTTCTTCCAGACAATTCAAATATATTATAGTTACAATAGAACCAAACTCACCTTTTTGTCCCACTGAATAATTTACTTAATATTATCTCTCACTAGTATATATTTCATCAAGAGTAGTTTCATGGGCTGGGGTTGTAAATCAGTGGTAGAGCGCTTGCCTAGCATGTTTGAGGCACTGGGTTCGATTCTCAGCACCACATAAAAAAATAATAAAGATATTGTGTCCATTACAACCAAAAATATTTAAGAAAAAGAGTAGTTTCATTCATTTCATTGTTTTAGGTGATTAATTTTGTTATTGATAAGTAGAAAGTGCAAGATATGTAGGTGATCCAAGGGGTCTCCCCCTCCCTCCAGGATCAGGGGGCCTCCTGATAATATTTGATGTTATTATCAACTACTACAAAAGCAGTAACTATGATACAAGTGATAACTTTCAAAATTCATTTAAAAAAGAAGTAAGGGTTGGGGTTGGGGCTCAGTGGTACAGCATTTGCCTAGCATGTGTGAGCCACTGGGTTCTATTCTTAGCATCACATATAAATAAATGAATAAAACAAAATGTCTGTTGAAAACTAATACACACACACACACACACAAACACACATACAGAAATAACTTTAGTAATCATTCTCTTACATAAGATGAAATGGAAGACAAAAGAACAGGTTATGTCTAACACGGAACAAACATGGTATATCTGACCTGGTGCTGGCTTTAGGACCTAGGCAGTGATTAAGAATTCCTATTATGAGAGTAGAAAGGTGCTGCTTGTATAGTTTGCTCCTGGTTATTCCTTTTTTTGTGTGCATTTTCTCTCTCTTGCTTTCTCTATCCACCCCAAACATTTTCTTATTTTCTTTTTTATAATGCTTATACACAAGACAAGAGATTCAACTACATTAAAACACAAACAGATTGATGACTATACTTTTCAGTGAGATCATTTTTCCTTCTCTATTGCATCAGATTTTTGGCATAACTTTTGGTTTTCCCAACCCATTCCAGTGTTTCTGTGTTTAGTTTGTTAAACATACTGACTTTTCATACTTGGGTCCATGGAACTAAGCTCAGAACAAGTCACATATTTATAAACATTACTTAGTTGATTCAACAATACAACAAAGTAACAGGAGTTGTCGCAACCCAAATAAAATTAAAACACCCATAACCAATTACATCTTTTAGATTAAAAAAAGTCAGGAAGCACAAAAGGAACCTGAAGTTGACGATTTGGGTGTGATTTGTTCATTGTTAACTGATTTAAATCCAAAAGTTCCTATTTCCATACTCATGATCTATAAAAAAGAGTGAAACTATCAGTGGCCTATGTGCTAAAGTCAGACAAGATACAGTGCCAGGGTTTGAATTTTCTTACATGTAAAATGATGTGGAAGACAACAAGGGAACCAGGAATATTAAACACAATAAACAGATAACAAGTCTTAACAGTGCTTTTTCAAGGCAGTGTAAATGTGAGAAACATGGTACATAATATTAACAATCTGGTTCAGTATGATTGTGGATTGGGCAGTACCTCCATGACCACTGAAAGGATCACACCCCACTTCTAAACACTGTTCATCTTTTTATTGAATATTCTGGTAAATATTTCACATTAATACAGGCTACATTTAGTAGAGCCATTATATGACAAGAAATTTACTCAACTTTTTCCTTTCCAGTATGTAAACAATTATACATGTATTTACCACCCTAAAAGGTTGAAACATGTAATCATCTAATTCTCTTCTGCATACAAGTAGCATTCGGTATGTTTAGCCAAAAGCACTAAGTTCATCTGATCTTAAGTTGAAAATGGCTAAACTAACCAGAGAACATAATCAGGTGGATAGGAAATC